AGATGACCACATGGCTGAATACAGTGCAGCATCCACGTTCATTGCGTCGTTACCACGCAGAAGCTGGCTCAATTCTGGGTGAGCGTCGTCTTGTAGTTCCAGAATCCTGGCAAAAGTCGCCTTGATATTTTGAGCGGTCCGTAACACCATTGTCTGGGGTGGCGCAGGGGCTAAAAATGCATCTGTGCTTGTTTGCCACGCATAGTGAGCTAGTAGGTCCTGTAGGTCGGAAGCAGGGACTTCGTTGTCGAGCCCATAAGGATCGAGATACATCCTTTCTGGTTGCTCATGGTAGCTATCAGCAACATCCCCGTCCAAAGTATATCCGGACTGAGCGAAGACAATTGCATAGACGTGGCTATGCAAAGCACAGCATTGAGCATTGAGCCCCAGTCTCGCGGCGAGACTACAAAATATGGCACTGGATATGAGTGGAATAGACTCATGTTCTTCATGCCGCAACGCCTGACCTATTAAACAATTTCGAAGATTTCGATAATTCTGTTCCGGCCTACGTAGGCCGGTTAAATTATTAGCGCGCACCCATCTGTTCAATGCCAAAGCTGTCTCTCGAGTTGTAAGCTCTGAAAGGTCAGTGCAACTGACTCGAAATCGAGCAATTATATCATCCAACATCTGGGAAATCTAAGCAAAGCCAATCAGAGTGAGTGTGTCAATGAAGCATTGAGAGAGCAATTTGTACGAGGACATACGTCATCTAGGTCACCAGTTTGGTCGTGTAACACGAACATGTCAAAGGCGCTGAGTGCTCTTTCGAGTCTCTGCGCGGCAACTTGTGCAGACAGCGAATCGCGGTCCAGACCCAGCCTGGACCATTCCTCAAGGGCGATGCTCCGATGAATGTTGTCGAGGATGACATTGCTAAAATATCTAAGAGTCGAGTTTTAATTATCCTGGGCTGATTGCGTGTGAGGCAGGGCAGGGTAGAACAGGCTAATTACCTCCTTGCTAGAACATCCGACGCGGACTCATGTATATGACATTGGACCAAAAGGAAGTCCTTGGCGTCATACCCCAGACGGCAAATCTTCTCAATCTTCTTGAAACGGCCAACTTTGGTTTCCACAATGCCGTCAAGAAGCTGGGAGACGATATGGTTGCTGCGTGTTCTCAACAGGAACAAGTACTTCCAGTCGACACTTGCCACCGTCGCTTGCAGCTTTTCGCCAAAGCTATGATCCGGGCGCCAGTATCTAAAGGTACTCCGGCAATGATATCTCCAAAGCAAGCCATCATTTGCTAATCTATAGCAACGATGACACAGCAACTGAAAGCATTGCAAATTATCCTCAGGCAGGACAAAGCGAAGCAGGTGCTGAATGATATCATCCGGGAAACGACCTAATGA